GCAGGGGCAGCAAGAGTGGGGCAGTCCCGGGACCACTGGCCCAGCGGCAACACTAAACCTGAGCCCGGGCAGCTGGCCCTGGCCGAAGCTGCCACGGGGGCTGAATGGCTGTGATGGCTGTTCCTGAACAAAACCTCTGCGCTAGTGGCCAGAGCTGCCAGTGCCGGACCAGGCTGCTTGGCAGTTGCCCTTTCCCTGCTCGGCTGCACCTTGGGATAATGGGTGCTGAAGTCTGGAGTGTTCTGGAAAATTCCCCCCACCCTTAGCTAAACCCACAACGCAGTGGCTCTCGGCTATCCCAGGGTCCTGCACGGAGAACTCCCGACTTCAACGCCACGGGGGCTCCCTCTGCCTCTTGCCTCTTGCTCCTAATCAGACTGATAAGCAAACTGGGGGCCTGGTGAAGCCTCCCCTGCCCAGCCTCCTGCTGCCACCCCCTTGACTGACTGGCAGGCGGGGGCTGGCGTTCTTGCCAAAAACAATCACAGGAGGATCCTCAGGGCATGACTCAGGCAGGGAGAGTCTGCGCCTGCAGTGGCAAGCTGCACCCTCCCCGGGTCTTCCAGCCTCACTGGGCCCCTCCCTGAAGCTGGCTCCTTGGAAGAAGGCACAACGTGGTGGAGCCAGCTGGACTTTGGAGGGAAGAATGTGGGGGTGAAATGGGCTCTGAGGGGGCTGGAGGCAGCAAAGACCTGGGGCTTTGACATGGGCTTGGAATGTAGGCTTAGCCTCAGATGGGGAGAGGAAGTGCCAAGCCCCAGCTGGCGGAGCTGGGAGAAACCCAGACCAGCCTTGAACCTGGTCAGGTCTCCTCAAAACCCATGTGCCTGGCTCTCTCTCAGCTAAGGTGTGTCCCCACCTGAACTAAGATTTACTTCACTTGGCAGGTTGTATGAACGAACCCTGAGACGCAGAGGAACCTGGAAGTGGCATCTGGCCTCTTCCTGGGCTTCCAGTCCTATGTTCCGCCCCGCCCCCTCCCTGCCCCCGATTCTTGATCTCCATGCCCTTAAAAGACTGCCACTGCCACCACCACTGGCTGAGACCCGACTCCCAATTCTGCTGCCTCACCCTCACTCTGGCTGGTCCGAGATGGCCCCTGGCAGGCAGGGGACTGTGAGGGAGGCACAAATGACTCGGTATAAACACCTATTTTAAAGAAGTATCCCCATTTTGACATCAACGTTACAGAACATTTGCCTTCTCCTCCACTGTGTGTGTTTTATTTACAGGGCACTTGTCCAGGGGCTGAGGGCTCAGAGTGAGGGATCACTCTCACTGGCTGGTCCGAGATGGCCCCTGGCAGGCAGGGGACTGTGAGGGAGGCACAAATGACTCGGTATAAACACCTATTTTAAAGAAGTATCCCCATTTTGACATCAACGTTACAGAACATTTGCCTTCTCCTCCACTGTGTGTGTTTTATTTACAGGGCACTTGTCCAGGGGCTGAGGGCTCAGAGTGAGGGCTGGGCCCCAACTCTAGTTTTCTGAGGCTCAGCCTCAAAGCCTTGTAGTCACCTGAGTTCCTGCTAAAAACACATGCCCCTGAGCACCACTTCTGGAGACTGATTCAAGGCCAGGAAATACCAGGAGAACAGGTATTTTTAACATACATCTAGATAACGATCTGGAGGTATCGGGGACTAGTAACTGTTCTTCAATAGAACATGCCAACTTTGTCCAGGCCTTTGTTAGTGCTAGTCCCGCTACCCAGAATGCCTTTTCCACCAATGGAAATGTTTCCTAAAAAGCTCAAAACTTTAGCCCTACCTCCTCCAGGCAGCCTTCCCTGATTTTTCCAAAGCGGAGGTTACCTGCCTAGGGCCTGCACAACATACTTTGAGTCTCGTCCAGCTTGTTTTACAGACTGTAGGTGGGCTGTGCCTTGTCTGCACATGCACCCCACGGCACCCAGCACATCTGGCAGCTCTTACCCAGAGAGATCATTCTCAATCACCATCTTCTGCAGCCCAGCTGAAATGCTACTGCTGCCAGAGCCAGGAGTGGAGGCCAGGTCGTTGCTCCCTGTGAGCGGCCCACTGCCCGGGGTGCTCAGTGCTGTGTGGACGTCCCTTAGAATTCGAGGCAGGGGCCCCAATTTGGATACGATGCTCTGCAAAGACACGACAAGGGGCAGGTGTAACCTGCTGGGGCCACCTGGGGAGGCCAGACACGCAGCAGCCACTGTGGTTCAAAACCCCCGAGCGCGCAGGCCCTCCTCCCCCACCAGGCAGATCCAGCAGGGCCAGGGCGGGGCAGGGGGGAGTAGAGCCCAGCAATCTGCAAAGTCCATATTCATCAGCTCCCCATAACCTTCTGAGACAGAAGTGCGAGGCCCAGAGGAACAATGCCGACCTAGTCCAAGCCTTTGACCCTAGTTCGTTCTACTTTGGTGCCTCTCCACAGTGAAAAGCACATGTGGAATCCAGAACTTCCCACAGGGAGGGACGGGGCCTGGCCCGCTTTGACACCTGAGCCCCACTGGAGATAGTCCAGGCACAGAGCAGACACCACCACATGCCTGTCAGACAAGTAACAAGTGGATGATGGTCAGGCAGAGGGTGACACCTGGGCCCATCTTAACCTCACAGTGCTAAGGGTTCCGGGCTGCAGGGCTGAGCTGAGGGCAGGGGACTCTGCCGCCTTCTGCTTATGCACTGGCTTCCGCACAGGACTTTGTGCAAAAAGGAAGTGTGAAGACTCATGTGGTCAACAGAGCACAGACTCAAGAGGCTAACACAGCTCAATTTCAAATCCTTGCTGCTACACTGTCAGCTGTGATGGCTGCTGACCATTGTGCAGATACAGAGGACGGTGGCCGGCACAGGGGCTCAGTCAGTGGTGGCAGCTGGAGTGACTGGTGTTGGCAGCAGTGGAGGAAGAGAAGGTCTTGGCCCTAGTTTCCTCCTGGCCCTAGTTTCCACGTCCCCCACACCGTGTCTCTCGCAGCCAAAGGGCAGTGGACATAAACGGGCAGAAATGACTACGACAGCATCTGTTTGTAGTGAAAAGCTGGACTAACCCAAGTGTCCAGCAACAGGGGGCCAGTGAAATAAACTCCAGTCACACGACAGGACAGTCTTGGGCTGTTAGAAAGGTTACAGCGGGGGACATATGTGGTGCCATGGAAAGATGGCCACGACAGAGTGAGAAGTGCACACTGCAGCGCACACGTAAGTTCTCACTCTGACGCAAATAAATAAAAGAGGAAGAGGACCTTGTGCTGTGTGTGTACTTCACACACACGCGGGTGTATCTAAAAGGCCGCACGCCAGAGTGACCTGAGTGGTCATGTCCAGGAATGGGGCAGGAGCAGGGAGGCCTTCTAGCCCCGTTTCAGCAACAACTGCTTTTGTAAGGTGGTCTCTCAGATCTCTGGGGAAGCAAAAGAGATTCTGGAAGCAGATTGCAGCCGGCCTCACCCTTGCTGCCAAGAACTTGTTCACCATGTGGGCTGGGGCTGCTGGGGGTGCACTGGACCCCCAGGCCACAGAGGGCACACTCCAGATGGCTGCAGCAATGTCGGAGATGTCTAGGGAATAACCATTTCAACTGATGGTCAAGGGCAATTCTGGGAAGGTTTGTAACTTCCTGCCTGACACGTGGAGGTGGAGCATTCTATCTCGTTCTTATCAGTGGCCTTAAAACCCAGAACGAGGACATTTTTGGAGAAGTAGCTAAGTCTGATCACATTTCTCACAGGTGGGGAACACGCCTTCGTATGTGGAATCCACCCACACATCGCCAAGTGCATGGAACACAACTGAAGCCCCAGTACCCAGAGTGGGCTCCCCCGGCAGGTGCTGGCAAGTGAATGTGGCAGGCCCCAGGGGAACGGGGCCAAGGTCCCTGTGCGTGCTGACAGGGCCTGGGTTGGAACCTTGGGCTCTGGCACCGGGCAGGGCTGCCGATCTGCCCTACATGGGGCAACTCTTTGACTGTCCTCTGTCCCACGGGCACAGGCACCTGCTCGAGCTGGCTCACGGCCTCCCAGAGCAGGGAGTGCAGGCTGGAGAGCTCGCGGCCCAGGTCGATGTAGCCCTCAAAGCCGGCGGTGTTGGAGATGGTCTCGGGGTTGGAGATCTCCAGCAGAAACCGCTGCATGTTGGTCCACTCGTGTTCCAGGAACTGGTTCATGAACGACATGTATTCTTCCTTGCTTCCAAACCTAGAGAGAGCAGAGAGGGTGAGCACCTGGTTCCGAGGCAGGCCCGGGAAAGCCAGGCCCCACCCAGGGGCCCCCTTCTCTGAGACGCGTCCACCTTCTCAGCTCCCACCCTTCCTTGAGCACCATGCCTGGCTCCTCTATCACTCAGTACCCCCCGCCAACCAATCTGCTGACTCAGGGCCCTCTTTCCTCACGGCCGACTCTAGAGACTCTTTCTTGCACCTTTTCTCACAAGACCTAGAATGTTCCCTGGTCCTCACGCCCTTTCACTGCTAATCACAATCTCTTTCTTTTCCCCCTCCAAGTTTCAACGGCCTGGTGCGCAGATGATTCTCAATCCACGCTCGGCCAGGCCTCTGCCGAGCCGGCACACACGCTATGTCCACAGCACCTCCCCTCCTCCTACCCACCCCGGCCAACTCTGAAGTCGTCGCTATCGCCCAAATCCATGCTCTCCTCCTGGGCTCCCTATCCTAAGTGGAGACACCACCGTCCACCGGGCAGCTGGGCCAGGAGCCTGATGGGCAATCTCCTCCCTCACCCTCCCCGCGGCTGACAAGGCCTGCTGACTTATCTTCTTGTCACCCCTTGACCTTGCAGCCACTGCCTCCCGCATCGCCACCCCCTCAACCCAATACTTCTACCATTTTTCTCCTGTTGGAACCACAGCTGAGCTCTCCTTCCGGTCTCTCAGCTGCCAGTCCTGCTCCCTCCAACACCCTGGCCCCACCACTGCCAAGCTGACCTTTTCAGGACCCAGAATAGATGAGAGCCGTCCTCTCCCTTGCTCAAAGCCCGCTGGTGGCTCCCACCACCCTGCCTCGCCTTCGAGTCCTCGCTGTGCCCCTGGGTCTCATCTCCCACATCTCCCAGCCTGGCACTTGATTCAGAAATGCCACATCGTCTTGTCCCTCCAGCACACGGCCGTCCCCGGGCCGGCCCCACCTCCGCTCTTGCTGCCCTGCTGTGAGTGGATGGCCGCCTTAGATCCTGGCACGCAGCTGGGAGCACGTGTTCCGGAAAGCCTCCCGGGAAGCGGAGGGCACACCTCCAGCCCCGCTCTGCTGCTCACTCGGCATCTCCCTCCCCTGCTGAAGGGCTGGCTCCAGGGAGCCGGGACCTGGCCCGATTAAGAGCCCAGAACGGAGGTGGCCCCAGAATGGGGCTCTATCTACGCTTTGCAAATGAGTGACCAGATGACCCGGCCCTTCCGTTTCCGCCCCCTCGCTCTAAGGTACAGTCAGGAACATTTTACGAGCAAGGACGGCATTAAACAAGGACAGTCTGAAACAGCCTGAGCACCCAACCACGGGGGACGGGCTAAGGAAACATGGGCCCTTCTCCCTTGAAAGCGTATGAGTCATGCATTTCAAAATGAGGCTTATGAATGTTAAGTACATGGGAGAATCCTTATGATAAAATGTTAATTCAAAAAAGCAGAAGGGAAAAATATCTTGTCTTCTTACCTTTGAAAATTAAGGAAACATACCAAAACGGCATGGACTTTTAGGAGGGGGAGGATGGGGTGTAGAGAACATTATATTTTGAAAAGGGGAGAGGGCAAGGACTAAGGACGACAGGGACCAAAGCAGGGCCCAGCTCTGTCCTCGTGGGCTCCAGCCCCACGCCCCCGCCCCGACTCTGCCCGTCAGGCGACAAAGCACTCACTTGGCGAAGTTGGCCAGGTTCTGGGTAACCTTGGCGATGAGGGTGAGGGTGCGGGCCGTGCGGTCATCGGGGTACTCCTGCAGCAGGTTGAACAGCGAGGGTGACATGATGGCCGGGCAGAGGAAGCGCAGAAACAGCGAGGCGCTGATGAGCCGTTCGCTGATGTCGGGCCGGCCTCGGCTGCTGCACTCCTGCCTCCACGAGGCAAACACCTCCTTCAGCTCCCGGGGGAAGACACTGCGCAGGAACAGGCGGGAGTGGGCCCAGTGGTCAGGCAGGGGCCCAGGACAGGAGGGCACAGAACAGGGACCTGGGTCTGGGTCCGACAGAGCCCTGTGTCCCAACCCCGACAGCTGTGAGCTCCCTGGGCCCTTACTCAGTGACCTATGACCCTTCAGGCAGGGCTGCTCGGGGACCTGAGACGGCACAGCTCGGTGAAGGCACCGAGGGAGTGCTCAGCAAGCTGAAGGAGCAGACACCCCCAAGCTCCAGTCAGGGCAGTGGGTTCTCCACAAAGGGGCCGAGTGGGATGGAACCCGAGCACAGAGGAGCCGGGTCTCTGTCCCAACAGGAACCAACGGCAAGGGCCAGCTCATGGTCCCTCCTTCCTTCAACCCTCCTCCCCAAACTGCAGGCATAAGGGTCCACGAGAGAGGGAGGGAAACAGCCGGAACAGACCATTGCTCCTTCGTTCCCATCCCTGGCTTTTGAGACTTACTCCTTTCGCTTGAACAACAGTATAGGAATCAGGTTTTCAGCAGAGCTGGGAGTGATCACAATGGGGCTGGCCTAACCATAGGGTGAAGACACAGCTACTTCCTAGAGGGCGAGTGACTTCCCTGAGGGACCCAGTGAGTGTGGGCAGGGTCCCTAACCCCCAACTGGGGGGCTCTCTCCCCTGAGCATCCCCAAGCTGCCACAACGAGGCCCCACCACGCCAACCTTTAAGTGGCTTTCCTATCTTTTTACCCTAAAAGATGGGCCTCCCACCCTGGGCTGGCGAGGACCCAGTGCTTGCTGAACCCAGGCTATGCCTGGCTGTTACTAGCTCCGGGTGCTCTGACCAAGTGCCTGGTCCTGCCTGGCTGTCCGTTTCCTCATCCTTACACTGAGAACGAGGCCTGCCTGGCCGAGCTCACAGGGCCATGTTAAGGCTGAGATCCCGAGGCCATTAGAGGCCTTGATCAACTTGGAAAGCTTTTGCCCGTCAAGCCCAGCGCCCAGCCCAGCGAGCTCTCAGCAGGGAATGTGGTGAGTACAAAGGCACTGGCTAGAGACACCGTGAGGGCAGGCAGCCTTCAACTCCAGCCCTTGGAATGCCTGGCCCAGGACTGGGCAGGAGGCAGGCATGGCATAGTGATGATATCTAACGATGGCCTTGTCCAGAACTGAGAGGTGCCTCTGGGTCTGACAAACACCAGAAAGAGGAAATGGAAAAGCATTGTCCCCGGGCATGTTTCCCTGTGTCCCACACCCGGCCCACCCTGGGAACAGCAGGGCAGGGTGAGAACAAAGCCTGGCCCCAGAGAGTTCCGGGCTCTATGGTCGCCCCTGCCCCCGATGTCAGGGATCATTTGTGACCCAGCCCGAGTGGCCAGGCCGGCCCCAGGTGAACAGGAGGGGAGAACTGACTGTGGTGACGTGGAGGGGCCACCAAGGGGGGCCGGGCGTAAGGCCTTCAAGCGGGAAGGCGAGGAGAGCAGTGTGACCAGAGAAAGCAATGACATATGGCTGGGGGTGGGGCTGTGGGGTCAGGAGAGGGGCTCCAGTGGAGAGTGATATGCCTGTCATGAGCTAGAGTAGTGACCAAGGAGAAAATCCAGGCAGCTCCTTCAGTGTGAAAATAACCCCACTGCTTGGGGCTGACAGCCAGGTCCCCACTCCGGACAGCTGTGCACGCCACACCGTAACGAGGCTGTGCTCTGCACCAGGCCAGGTGCCCACCAGACACACATGCCCCAGGAGCAAGCAGGCACACGGGCCGCCAGCCTTGAAGGCAGCAGCCCAGGTACCGATTCTGGCTCGGCCGCGGTCCTGTCTGAGCAGTCCGCTCCACCCAGCCCTGCAGCCCTCTGCTCGACTTAAAGCCTAGTCCTCTCTTCTCGTTCTCCGCAGTGCAGGCGGGAGGCCTGTCCGCTGTCCGGGCCCCCGCATAGCCCCTCCCGGGCCCGATCACAAGCCTCTGATGAAGCGTCAAGCTCCTATGGGCAGATGAGGAGGTAAGCCCTCCACCCACCCCAGGCACGTGCCAAGCAAGGCCTTATCAGTCAATGTCACCCCCTGTGCAGCCCCATCACCTACAGCAGTACCGGGTACACAGAGAGCCCAAAAAGGACCAGGATGGGGGGCCTGGCAGCCCAGCAAGACTCTGCAGGCTCAGGCAGAGGGTGGGTTTCAACCCCAGAGCCACTGCTTTGAAGCTGAGAGGCAGCAAGCATGTCACTTACTCTCTCATTAAGCCTCAGCTCTCCTGTTCATGAAATCAGGCACGAGGGAACAGAGCCCCCTCGCCAAGCTGTCTGAATCAGCACACCGCATGCATGCCTAGCGCAGGGCCTGGCACACTGTGGACACCCTGATGTAGGACGGGTCAGAGGGGAGGCGCTGGGCAGTAGAGCCCGAGGGAGCACTGACCAGTAGGAGTTGATGATCTTGCAGAAGGCCAGCTCGCAGCACATCTTGAGGTTGCCCTGGTGCTCGGGGAGGTCGGCGGCCGAGCACTTGCTTGGGTCCACTTCGCAGTTCTCGTCCGACTCATACAGCGCTTTGATGAACTCGCCTGTGGCCAGGAGGGCAAGGAGTAGGCAGTGAGGACCTGGTGGGCGCGCCTCACCCTCTGCCCGCCTGCCGGCCTCACCCTCCCTACCTAGCGCATCCTGAAGGTACTTCTGGCCCACCAGCTTGAGGTACTCCTCGATGGCCTTGGTGGCCAGAGTGTTCTCCCGGAAGATGAGGTGCTCGTTGTCCCCACAGCGGTCCACCTCTGACATCATCAGGTCCGTCAGGAAGTCCTGGGGAGGCAGACAGTGAGGAGACCGGACCCGAGCAGGCCTGGCAGGCAGCACCCTAGGATTCCAGACCTGCTCCCTGGCCAAGAGAAGACCTTGCTTCTCAACACTGTTCCATCATCAAGACGCTCCATGGGGTTGGCCAGGGAGTGAGGGTAGGGCAACCACACTGTTCCATGGTCAAGACGCTGGTGCCCATCCATGGGGTTGGCCAGGGAGTGAGGGTAGGGCAACCTGGTTAGGGGAGATGCACATCACTGGTGACATCAAAGCTGGGTCCAGGGATCGGGAAGCAGACCTGGGCCAAAAACATGCTGCAAGAACATGAGGTCCCCGTATCACGGCCAGACCAGCTGGACTCAAATCCCTGCTCAGTCCTGACCAGGCCTGGCTGGATGACGGGAGCAGAACTCCCCCAACCACTGCCATCACCACTGGGGCCAAAGAGGATAAACAGGCCATCCTCCCTCCACCGTACGAGCAGCTGCCACTATCTACCTGTTACTCCGATGGGGTCTCCCATACCAGACAGACTCATTCTGTGTGGTCCCTCAAAGAAGAACGAGAGAGAGGCAGAGGCAGGCGTGTCACCGAGCAGTGAGCCAGTGCTCAGATGGTGAGAGTAGGGACCTCGGCCCGGGTGGGTAGGCGGTGGCACTACTGGCCACCTGGCAAACCCAGAGCAGCAGCTCCTCACTGTGGTGTGCCCCGGCTTCTCTGGAGGGCAGCTGCTACGCTGATGAGCTCGCCAGTCCCACGGGCAGGGAGCCTGAGCCCACACTTTCCCTCCTGACTGGGAAGCTGGACTGCCCAGGTGGGAACTCCCTCCCTCTAAAGCCCCTGCCTCCTCTCGCCCACAGCCAACCCTGGGGTTCGGGGCAGAGGAGGAGACAGGCAGGGAGCTGGAGACCCAGGGGAGGGCGAAGGGCAGGGTAGGGAACACCCGGCACAGAAGCTGCAAGGTGGCCAGCGTGGGCCAGGGTTTCTGGTGTGCACAACTCTGGGTCCCTCTGATATCACAAGTGGCCTTTCGAAATACAGAGCAGAGACCTAGGCGGAGAAGACCCTGCTGGCCAAAAGAGGGACAGGAGGGTCCGGGGAAGCTACTGCTGGCTTCTCTAAGGACCACACAGCCTGAAGCCCTTCCTGACATACAGATGACATGCAGGGTCCCTTCTCTGGACGTGCAGAAACAGAGGTAAGTACTGCACATCCTGCTCATGCCCGCGGGCCTTCCCGAACTCCTGGGTGGGTGCTGGGCCCACGCGGGGATGAGGTGGTGCTCCCTTCAGAGCTGGGACTCGACGTGGGGAACAGGCACAGAACAGGCTGTGGCCACACAGCGGGCCCAGGTCTCCTGCTCTCCAGGCCTTGTTCCTCTCGCTGCACCTCAGGGAGAGGGGGTGGTAGGGAGCAGTCCAGGGACAGGGACTCTGAAAGGTCACGGCCGGGAGAGCAGAGCCTGGGGAGGGTAGCTCAGCCCCCACCAAGAACACCCCATAGTTCCCAAGTTCTGGGAACAGAGGGGGCGCCAGACGTCAGTCACCCAGCAGCATGAGTTACTTTCCATCCTTCCGCCCACTGCTCCGTACTCCCCACTCCCCACTAAGGGCCACAGGGGAGGCTGGACCCTGGCTGCCTCCTCCCTCCACGAGCACCTTGATTCGCCTCTTGTCTAAGCGGGGAGCCTCAAGAGCAAAGCCCCTTCAGACTGGAGTCAGCTTCCCAAGCCAGCCCGGCCCTCAGAGGCCAGGTACTAAAAGAACAGACATCGCAGCGGAAAAGGACCCACTCAAGCCTCACGCCACCCTCGATTAGCTGTTTCCCAGCACCCCGCCCACTGCTGACTGGGACATTAAGGACAGTACAGCCAGAGGGCCACCTCGCGGCCTGGCCCAGTCGGGTTGGAGGTGGGGGAAGGAGGTAGTCCGATGGCGTGGAGACCGAGTGCTTGCTGTTTCTCTCCCTGGTCCCACACTCGCTGCACACCTCCAGCCCAAAGGGCTGTGGGGCTTGAGAGCAGGAAGGCAGCCGGGGACCTCCAGCCCCGGCCGACCCTCTCCAGGGCCTCTGGGAACAGGTAAGAGGTCGGCTCGATGCAGTCATGCACCCTGGGCTCTGCCCTGAGGACCCGCGGCCTGGCCCCCACCTGTGCCTCCCCTGACCCCTGACCCTGGCACAGGGCAGGCAGTCCCTCACCCCACGCAGGCCATTTGGCTCTCAAGCCACACCACGTCTAGAGGGCAAAGGCCCAACTCCTGAGGCCAGCCCTCAAGGCCCTCTGCAACATGGGTGAACCTCCGTCCAATCCTCCTCCACAGCACCCCCAGGCAGCTCCCCACAAGGAAGGAGGCAGGGTGGAGACGGGGGACGGTCTGTCTTGGAAGCCCACAGAACCGTTCTCCACTGTGCTGGGTGGGAAGGTGATGGGGAGCATTCCTGAAGGAGCCCACTTCTCTCTAACACCAGGTGGGTGGGGGTTATGGGGGCCTGGTCTGGCGGGGAGTGGAGGGTCAGAGGTGGGGAGGAGAGAGCTGGTCCCCCCTAGCCCTGCAGCATGGCCTGCCTGGATGGCTTTAGACAAGCACTATTTGTAGGCTCTGGAGCTGGGGACGATGACAGCCATGGCTGGCTGACTATCAAATGGCTATAGAAGTGACCGTGTATCTGTGTGTCTAGGCGTGACAGGGGTGAGGCTAGGGCTACGATAGTGTCTGTACCCTGGTGGTCATCAGTTGGGGATGTCAACCAAACTCAACCCCTCACTGGACATGCGTGTCTGGGTCACTGGGTCCCCTGTGCTGGGAAAGGCTGGCCCCGTGACCTACTCCCTTTGAGCCTCAGGGACCAGCCCAGTGGGGCAGTGGGGAGGCCCTTAAAACCTACTTCCTGACTATAAGCTGCCATCCTATCTAATGCTCCATACCTGCGCCCCTGTGATCAGCTGAAACACGGGGCAGGAGCATGAAGCCCCGACTCTACGATGCGACTCGGGTTTAGGGGGCCCACTTGACTTTTAGGGCTGAAATCCACAACGTGAACGTGGGGAACCGCAGGTCACTTAGTGCGTCACCAGACCTTTCCACAGGGCCATGCAACATGGCGGGGCCTGCCCTGGGCCCGAGCACGCACCTTCACCTTGCCCGTGCTCTGCAGGATGTGCACCAGGGCCGACGCCATCTCTTCCTTGGTCTTGGCACTGAGGATGGGCTCGAGGGCTGCACACAGCCCCAGGTAGTGGTTGGTGATGTGCTCGGCAAACTCCTTGTACATCTCCATGGGCAGGATGGTGATGGTCTGGTAGCGCGCCTTGATGCGGATCATGGGCCCGGGGCCCTTGCCGCCCTTGGGGTTAGGCGTCACCACTGGGTACCACTTTTCCACGAACTGCCGCCCAGCCACCGAGGCGGCGGGCAGGCTCACCAGGCCCAGGTAACTGTTGCGTTCCTTCTTCTTCTTCTTGTCAGTTTCCCGGTACAGGTGGACGGTGACAGTACGCAGGGGTGGCAGGTTGTGGAACTCAAAGTGCTCGCCCCAGAAGACATTGTCCGTCTTGAGCTTGCCCGTGGTGCGGGCATAGAGCACGTCGTCCAGGCACAGCTCACACAGGTACTTCTTCTTGGCCGGCAGGTCCTTGGCCTCGATCACCCATAGCTTCAGGATGTGCTCCACACGCCGGCTGTTGTCCTGCACAGGCACAGGGAAACCCTGGTCACTGTGGGGCCAGCCACCTGCCCACCGTCCAGCCTGGAGCCGGGGAGCGCTCTCAGGTCCGGGGGGACCCTGACAGCTGGTGCAGGGGGCCCAGGCACTGACAGGATGGGGGGTGGGCTGGGGACAGCTCTGGAGTCTGACGGACATGGGGCTGGGTCTCTGCTCTGCCTTGTGCTAGCTCACTGACCCTGGGTATGGGACTTAATCTAAGCCTCAGTTCCCTTCTTTAGAAAACAAAAATAAATAGTGAGAGATGAAGTAAGAGGTTAGCACAGTGCTTGACACTTGGCAGGCCACCGTGCCATTCCTAAGCTCTTCTGGAGTTTGTAAAGTTGCGTAAGCGGTAATCACTGCTAAGGCCCCTTCTGTTACGGTGTTACGGTGACTGGGACTCAGCCCAGGCCCTCGAGTCAGCCAGGAAAGCAGATGCAGAAGCAGGAGATTACACCTGGGGTCCCATGCACCTGATGGGGGAAGCCCAGAGGGTAGTGGAAACAGAGAGGAGGGTACCAGCCTGGGCCAGTGGTGCTCACCTGGAGGGCAGGACAGATGTCTAAGCTGATACTGGATAGGTGAGCAAGAACTGGTCGGGGGGAAGGGGTAAACCAAAGATCCAGGCAGAAGGGCACCAGCACCCAATGCCCGAATCGCCTATATTGTTCTCTGGCCCAGCCTGCTGCGTGTGCTTCGAGCACCGAGGCCCACAGCACCCGAGTCAGTCGGGCCAACCAGAACCCCGCTTCCAGGGCCCAAACCTACTGCCCACGCGGGCCCTGTCTCTACACAGACTGTCCCGCCCCCACCCCAGCCACCAGAGCCCCCCGCCCCTGCACCCTCATGTCGGAGTCTGAGTCTAACCTCACCCCCCCGGCTTTGGCGAGAGGGGGTACAGGCCTACCTTGTTGGGGTGCACCGCACGCCGCAGGTTCTCCATCCACTTATCCCGCTCGGCTGCTGACCGGCAGGAGAAGCACTTGCTTCCTGATGATGTTGTCACCTGTGGGGGCGGAAAGGACCGTGTCACAGGGTGGGCACGACCGGGGACCTTTGGGGATTGGGGGGCTTCGGCCACTGGGTCTGCAGCACAATCTCAGGGAGGCAGAACAAGGCTCAGAATGACCCCTTTATTTCGTGTTTGCGGGTGGTGCGCTGAGACCACTGTCCCAGGGACAGGAGGGTGGCGTGGCCCTGCACTGCCTGGCACCTGGTCCTGGCTCCTCGCCCCCGCCTCAGCGTCCTCTCGTGGTTAGGAGAGGACCTTTCTGACTCCACCCTCACTCTCCCAGAGACGGGAAGGGAGAAGGCCGGGGACGCCTGCCTGGGTCAGAGGGCAATGCTTAACCCGAGGCTCCCTCTTCAGGTGGAGCCACAGGTAGGCACAAGGACCACCCATCCTTAGCTGATACCTTCTGCCAGTTCTCTTTAGCTAAGTGACAGTGACATCTCTTTAGCTAAGTGACAGTGACTAGAGAAATGAGAACTGGGCTGTCTGGGTGTGCTGGGCCCTGGGGTCCTCCTGCCTGGAACCCTTACCCTTCCCTTGCTGTGGGACACTCACTTATCCCCCGGTCCCCTCCAGGCGAGAGCGCCCAGCCCAAGCTGCACCTGCTCTGGTCCGCTGTCCCTGGCACCACGCCAAGAGCTTGACAGTGAGAACCATACTCCCCATCTAGCTGCTCAAGGGCCTGCACGAGCCCCCTGCTGTGGGAACCCCTTGCTGTGGGTACCCCAGCCTTCCATGCCCAGGCACTATCTTCAGTCCATCCCAGGCAACGAAGCCAGAGCCCAGATGGAACCGGGCTGGACCAGGAGTCTCGAACCAGAAACAGCAGGCACAGGGGTGGGGCGGAAGCCAGGAGGTTGCCACACTAGTCCCCGAGGAGCTGGTTTTCATTAGCAGGCTCGTTCTCCTATCGGCGAGCTCCCCTAATGATGCCAAGATCCTTGCGGGTGGGAGTGGGGGGCGCGGTGGGAAGAGAACGTGAGTAACGAGAAGCAACGAGCGACCTCCAGGAACCCCTGCGACATCCATCGCCCGAGTCCCGGCTGGACCGCAGGTTTGAATGACCTCTGACATCTTGCCTTCTCTGGACCTCTGATTCCCCTCTCTACAGTGAGGGGCTAGACGAGTGATCCCCAGGTACAGCCCTACCAGGCTGGGCTGCTGCCCTCTGCCTGCTCTCAAATCTTGGGTCACAGAAGGCTAGGGCAGAAAAGGTTCTGGCTCACTTTAGAGGGGGGAGACTGGCCCAGAAAGGGGGGCACTCTCCACCATCACACAATGCATTTGGGGGCTTCTAAGGAGGGTGAGCAGGCTTGAGACACGGGCCCTGGGGCTGGAGCAAGTCTCAGGGGCTTTTACCCCCTTTCACCTCTCCCAGAGTCTCCTGCTCTCACCAGTATGGAGGAGAGTGCTGGTCCATCTCCAGGGCCCCCACTTCCCAGCTCCACCTGGTCTCCTGGGAGTCAAAAGCTATGAGCCGATTACAGCCATTGTTCCAAAGCTGAGGTCACCAAATACTCCATGAGGGTGTCTGGAGAAGACCAGGCCTGGCCAGGAGAGGCCACCGGCGTCCAGCTGCCACGAGCTTGACCCACCTCGAAGCAGTAGTCCTGGCCCAGGATGCTGCTGTGCACGGGCTTGATGACCACCTCCTCCTCCATGCTGAGGTCCAGAGCCTCCACCGCGCTGCTGGGGCTGAGCAGGGACTCGTGGGAGCGAGACTCCTTCAGCCTTGGCATCAGATGGGACCTGCAGGGTGGGTGACAGGTGTGTCGGGCTGGGCCTGTCACTCCCCTCCCCTGCCCTGCTCCTTCCCTTCCCCTCTCCTCCAGGCAATCACTGCCCTCTCAACTCCCACCCATCCCTTTCAGTTGAGGCAGACGTGGGGGAGGGGCACTGCGGTGCTGGCACCCCAGACCCATCATCAGTCCCTTCCCTTCGCAGGATTCTGGGTAAGCGGTTTGGACTCTAAGGGAATAAGTGGCCGAGGACAAGGACACTGCTCAGGAGCTGAGTCAGCCTTGAGTGTGGGGACCCAGGGGAAAGAAGTGACCCCACCCAGGCCGCCTTCCCCGTTCCCCTCCCCTCAGCCCGGCACCCTGTCAGAGATCAGAGCAGTCCTCATCGTCCAGAATGACAGTGCCAATAAAACCCTTTCTCATACACCACCCCACTCCACCCCCAGCCCCATGTGAGGCAGAGAGCCCCCGGGATCTCTGCTGCACCCATTTTACAGATGAGGACAGTGAGGCTCAAGCCGGCAGGGATGCAGCAGTGCACAGTATTCAAGGTGCCGAGACTCGGGCTGGGTCCACGTGCCGGGGTTTCAGGGCCCAGGCCAGGGTCAGTGGGCTCAATGCAGGCACAAAGGGCAGAGGTAGTGGACGCCAACTGGTGCCCAAAAGGAGCCTGAACCCAGACTGGCTGACAGACGTGGCCCCACTGCCACCTCTATGTGGCCCTGGGCAAAACACCGCCATCTCTAAGCGCAGGCACAAAGGGCAGAGGTAGTGGACGCCACCTGGTGCCCAAAAGGCGTCCTGACTGGCTGACAGACGTGGCCCCACTGCCACCTGCTATGTGGCCCTGGGCAAAACACCGCCATCTCTAAGCCTTGGTTTCCTCAGCACATGACATGGGAAGTGCCTCAGATGGCACCTGCACCAGTGCTTGGTACAGTCTACCTCGGAGAGGTCTGAATGTCCCTTTCTAGAACAGCACACCGCAGTGCCCACTGGAGCCCCCTCCCACAGCTGGGGCACAGGAAAAGCCTGCAGACCAGGCAGGCCTAAGCCCGCCCCTGGCACAGAAGCTGCCCAGGCCTTGCCCCCACTCATGTCCATAGAACCTGGCCTGGGCTTAGCTCGCCCGGCCCTCCTTCCCCTCTGCCTTTCAGCTCCTGGCCTCCAAGCCCAAGTCTCAGTCCATCATTCTCTCCTTGCCTCACCGAACACCCCAAATCTCAGGTCAGGGAGGCCTGGCAGGGTCACCGCACACTTCTCCATAGGGCATACACCCTGTAATCTGCTTCCGTGACCGACAAAGGTAAAGCGGACTGAGACCACTATGTGTGGGCTCAGGAGACCAGAGACAAGCAGACAGGCCCTGCCCAGAGGGCCTCACAGGCTAACAGAGGCCACCCTCCACCCCAAACTCCACATCTCCATGGCAACAGCATACACCAACATGGAGTCCTGTGCTAGGCACTGCATGGGAGTAAGAACCAGAACTGGGACCCCAGCCCTTGGGGACTCCACATCCCAACCCAAGAGACCCAGTCAGTATCCCCTCAACTGTGCCCCCATGCCTAGCACAAAACTAGCACGTGGTAGAACTCAGATCACTTAAACCATATTATTGGCCTCAAGCGGGACTTCTGAAAGCTCTGAGGTAATGGACAGACCAGAGGAAGGCCACGAGGGAGGCTGAAAGCAGGTAAGAACCAACCCGAAGCCCCGCAGGGCCCACGTGTGGAACTCCTCGGTGAGGCCCGAAGCCCCGGCATCGTAGCGGGGGTGCCTCGGTTCCTTTAGCGCCCTCTCTCTGGGAGGCAGCGTCTCACACACATGCACCGAGGCCTACCACGTCACCCCACGCTAGGCTTTCCCCCCGATGAGCATCCTCCAAGCGCTCCCTGTTCAAGTGGCCGTCTCCTCCCCCATCACGGCACTGACCAATGCCAAAGGTGGGTCTGCTGTCCCTCAGTTGAGATTCCACCTTGGGCCACCCACCTCGCAGGGCAGACCCCAGGCCCCCAGATGTGGCTTCATACCTCAGTGCAAGAAAAGCCCTGCCTCAGATGCTGAGGAAGTCACCGGCCTAGGAACAGCTGGGACCCACAGTCCCCGTGGCCTGCCATCCAGGGCTGAAAACCCAGGCTACAGGTGGGGGATCAAGCTGCTTTCTGGCCCAGCCCAGAAACTCCTGCTGGGAGTCCGGGCGGGTGGAGAAGGCATCCAGGAAGTGCAAAGGTAGGAGCTGGCACGCTGGGGCCGCCTCCTGCCCAGGGCGCCTGAACGGGCTAGCTGAGGACAGGAAAGGGAGTTGCAGTTCAGTGGGCTGAGTCTGCCCGGGGAGACCCAAGGGGCCCTGGTTCCATAGCCAAGAGCCCAGCAGGCCCGGGCCAGACCCCAAAGCAGCCAGAGCCTGGAGCCTGTGGCTGCAGAATCCTCCTCTTCCTTCCCCACGAACATGCCCCAGTTGGCCCAGGCCTCATTAGGACGGCTCCTGGCTGAACAGAAGGCTGTGGCAAGCTCACGCGAAGGCATCCTGGCTGCAGCTGGACGGCCCTGGCCCTCCCCATCTCCCAGGACTTCTCCAAGTGGGAGGATGTGGCTGCTCCTGCAGGTGGAGGGCCAGGCTCTGACTGCTGCCCGGTGTGGCAGCGTGGAATCCTCACGCTTCCCAGGACGGCGGAAAGCCATGACTCCCCGGTCACAGATGGGAGAGCCAAGGCCACAGGGTCGTGAGACCTGCCCTGCCACCTGAGGCAAAATCCCTGCTGCCCTACTACTGAGAGCTGTCTTGGCCAGAGCCTGGGGACAGCCAGGCGGGGGTGCCCCACTGGCCTATTCCGTCTAGGCCAGAGCAGCACCCTCCCACCAGACTGGCCCCTCTACCCAACATGGCCTCACCAGCACGAACTTCCTCCCTCTCTGGAGGCCTATGCCCACGCTGTTTCCTGAACCCGTACCATCCCCCCTCCCCACCCCCAGCTTCTCAGCTTTCAAAGCCCAGGCCGAATGCCACCACCACCATGCTCCCTTGGTCTGTGCAGATAAACAAGAGCTCACACCCAGGCTGTGTGGCTGGGCCCCACTCCACGCCCCTTTCTAGCTGTCTCCCCGCCTGATTCTCATGACCACCCGTCCGGACTGAGGCTCCACACCTCGGAAAGGCCAGGTGGCGTGCCCAAGTGGCAAGCAGCTAACCCCGATCACCAGAGTTCAAGACCAACTCCATCAGCGCAAGGCTCGCCTTTCCATCTCCCCACAGGCGACGGGCAGGGAAAGGCCCATATGCAGCTGACGTGCTCACTGTGACCCACTCATTCCAGGTCCAGGAGGAAGAGCCAGGGGGGCTGGCTGGGGCAGAGGGCCCAGGAGCCTAGGAAGCGTGGCGGGCGGGCGCAGGCAGAGCTGCTGCTGGAGATACAGCCAGGCATCAACAGCAGCTCATTGTGAAGGCCAGGGAGCGGGAACAAGGGGACATTGTCCCAGCTCCTGGGCCATGGCCTTATCTGATAGCCTTCCAGCCAACCCACGAGCTATTTTTCAACTCCATCTTTTTTTCTCTTAAAAGGTTAGTGACACAGAAGTTTAGCAAATTCCTCATTATTTTAAGGAGGGAGGAGACCAAAAAACAAAACCTGCAATAACCAAAAAGCCCTATCTGACATGGAGAGGATGTTCTCAGCTACGGGCGGAGTGAGTTAAGAGGGGCTGTACAGCCTGGAAAGTGAGGCTCAGAGTTACCCGCCAAATCTCAAAGGGGCAGAGGGTGCTGCCCCGCATGCCCCCAGCGGGCAGGGCTGGGGCCAGGAGAGGCCAATTCCAGCTCCGTCACAGCTGTCCCCAAAGGGGCCAGGCTAGTTTGGTTTTAGAGGGAGCGGGTACCGTCTCCGGAGGTGTGCAAACAGAAGCTGGGAGACTCTTTGCTACAGAGGAGATGCCTGCACTGCTAGGGTCACAGTGCTGGCCCACTGCTGGAGTCACAGGCCAGGCATGCAGCAGAGTGAGCCCCAGGAGTGTACATACATGTGCGTGCGCACGCACGCACACGCACGCACACCCTGCAGCTGGGAACATGCAGAAGGGCCTAGTTTTTAACGGTGCCTGGCTGTAGGAGTAAATTTAGTCTCCGATCCTTGTAAAACACTCAAACTTGAATACTTTTAAGTCAACTCTCCAAGCCTCAGTTTTGCCATCCATGGGTGGGGACAATGACATCACTTCCATAGAGGGCTGCTGTAAGCATCAAATGAGACATGGGGGAGATGCCCAGGAGAGGAGGAGTAAACGCCGGTGACCCTCATCAGTCACCTGTGATAGTTCCAGTCCCCTTTGATCTATTCTAGTCACTTGCCAGACACTGCTGTAGAAGTGTTTTTTTTTTTGTTCTGTTTTGTTTTTTTGCCGGATTGTGGGTATGTCCAAGAAGAAAATCTGTAGGCTTTGTCTGATAATAGTTTATACACTTAAAAAAAACGGGGTACAGCTGTGGACAAGGCTGAGACAGAATGTACACCCTGTTATTGACGCTGACGTTTCTCAGGGAGGTGACACTCCTGACATTTGGGGTGACGAGAAAGACTTCCCAGGCCATTCTCTGTTCCTTTCCTCTGACCAAATGCCTTACCTTCTCCATGCCTCAGTTTCCCCTAACTGCAAAACGAGACAAACTAAAATGGGGTACAGCTGTGGACAAGGCTGAGACAGAATGTACACCCTGTTATTGACGCTGACGTTTCTCAGGGAGGTGACACTCCTGACATTTGGGGTGACGAGAAAGACTTCCCAGGCCATTCTCTGTTCCTTTCCTCTGACCAAATGCCTTACCTTCTCCATGCCTCAGTTTCCCCTAACTGCAAAACGAGACAAACTACTTCTACCAAAAATCCCTTAACTACCTGAAGTGAAGAGAAGGAGTAGAGGGTGCCTGTGACTCCCCCGACCCAATCTCCCAGTCACAAGCTTGTGTGGTCCCACACCACGGCCCACTGCCTTTGCCAGGCCTGGAAGAGGTAGAAA